ACGGCGTATTACACATAGCCACACCTACCTGTCTTCTCATGGTCGTAGCCCACCACAATGAAATAATCTGCCAGGCGGGCCATAGCCGAGGAGAGTCCGGCTCGGTCCCCGCTAGCCTCGCCCCAGCTACTACTCCCGCTGCTGCTGTTGCTCCGGAGTAGCTCAGCATCCTCCCTTCAACTCCTCCTGTCCTGCAAAAAGAGGCAGCGGCGGCAGCAGCTCAGCCATGTTGGACAGTCAGACTCCTGGTGCGCCTGCGCGGTCCTCATCCCCCTCCCTTCCAGAGAGCCGCTCTCGAGTGGCCTCGCTCGAGCCGGGGGGGTGCGGGGGAAGAGTTCTGGGGTTCGCAAGCGCCGCGCGCTGCGTCCGGGACTGGAGGCGCCTCCGCTCAGCCTCGAGAGGTAGATTCTTTGCCCTTCGCCCCGTTATATTCCCGTTTGCAACTGGATGTGCGTTACGTAATTGCTTTGTATGGCCTTGCATTGCACCGCGCCTGCAATCCGAAAACGGAAGGCGCTCTGAGAAATAAAGCGCAGCCAACCTCTTCAATCAGATGCTTCCTTCCTTCCTGTTTCAGAAGTTGAATAGAAGCCGTGCTTTTGGTAGACAAGGAGAGCGTTGGAAACGCAAGCCGCTTGCTGACGCCGTCGCGTTTCTAGGTACAGTCCGGAGGAAATCAGTTCGACTAATTTCCGTAAAGACTTGCTCCCGAGTAAAAAGAAAGTTGGGGATATGGACGCTAAATTCCCTTCCTGTCGTTTGGGCGGGCTCCAGTTTTCTGGGATTGTGCACGTATGAAGTGCGGCTTGAAAAATCTCTCTGGATTCTTTTTTTTTTTTTAATGGATAAATTGCTATGCTCGAAGGTGGTTCGAAAAATCTCGTATATCTGGTCCTGGTCTCACCCAGCGATCATAGGAAGACGTATCTGGATGGTTGGGGTTTTGTTTTGTTTTTCACTTTTTCAGAAATGGATCTGTACAAATCAGTGCTTTGAAAATGAAAAAGAATAATTTGTTTAGAAATAGGGACTGAAGTGGAGAGAATACTGCAAGTGATAAAAAAAATTGAAAGATACGTGTGATTTTGGCCTATACCGCATTGCAAAATTGCTACAGTGTGCTTATCCTAAATTGCAGCAGTTATTTTTTCTAATTTAGCAGTCATTTATTCCTAAATACTGGTGCAGTAATATTATTACTGATGTCAGATTAATGCTTAATGTTTTATGCCTAAAGTGGCAACATCTAGCTGTACCTAGAGCTGATAAATAGTGGTTTAAGATATATTCACAAATAATAACATGGGCTATATAGCATATTGATTATCTGATTATAGGTGGGAGGGCATCTACTTCCATGTGACTGACACAATGTTTGTTAATGTTGTTAACTGGAGAATTTCCATGTTAACCCTGCACATTTCTGGAGGACAATGGGATAGAGACCTTAATCTCGTTTATGGCTACTGCATGAAGCCTTCAGATCTGCCTTATTTTACTAACTCTGGCACCATCCAAAAATAATGTATGAAGTGACTGATGTAGAACACATTTTTCCACTGGTATTACATTTTCACACTTGTGAATATCACTCTTGTAGAATCTAGTGTGGGAAACTCTGCCCATCTAAATGAAATTATCCAATCAATGCTTGCACTTGTATGGTTCCCATACATACAATACATCATGCAGCATGCAAATACAAGTTTGGCTTCTAAGGGGGCCTAAATGCCTACAAATACAGTGTGGCAAATTAGCAGATGTGTAAAAAGGGGCAAGTCAGAAACCTAAGTTCTTTTTCTCTCTCCTTTCCTTTTCCTTTTCCTTTTTTCTGTTTTTCTACTTCTTGGTATTTTAATTCTTGTTAAATTTGCTCCGGTCATCTGTTTTTTTCCTTTCATTAATGTGTGTGTGTGTGTGTGTATAGTAACAATACAATGGAGATTTTAATAAGTAATTAGCTTATGACCAAAACCTTTATTATATAACAAATACTTTGACTGAATTTTGAATGAAAAAGCCAAATATTTCTGATGCTGTTAATATTGATGTCCTAAATTGTAATTAATATTGATAGAATCTCTTTTTCTCTTCTCTATTTTCAATACTCTAAGTTATTTAAATAATAGAGTGTCATTAATCTTTAAATATATGAACATCACTGTGCTGAAATAATATAATGTATCAAAATTTATAACACAATAAAAAGGGAAAAAATAAAAAATGTTTATACTTGCGTGTCAGTCTAGCATATCAAGGGCGCATAAATCCAAATGACCACAAAATGGCAGCAAATAGTTAGATTTTTCTGTGTGTCTTTACCTCCATCATCTTGATTTTTGCAGCACTGAGAATAATTTCATATCCCACTTT